CGGCCCTTGGGAAGCGGAGAGGTGGTTTACCGGGCTAGGTGGGAGGAAGAAAGAGGGGGGAACAAAAGCTGCATGGCAGCAGGTGGTGGGGTGGGCTGGGGGGGGCGGTTCTGGTACCGTGGATCCTGTTGGTGGGCTCTGCTGGGCTGGAGGGGTTCTTGCTGCTGCTCTCCAGAGGGTGAAGAGTGGGAAAACATGTTTCTCTGGTTAACGGGTGTTCTGTCTCCTGTTGTGAGCTCTGTAAAGTTACCTTTCCCTACTCCCTGTCCTGGGTTGTTGCTGGCTGTTTCCCAAGATGGCGATGCAGTGCCTTGTTAGTTTGCAGGGGACCTCCACTCCATCTCTCTCCTTGTTCTCTGTTTTCCGTCAGTGTCTTCTCCCATTTGGTGTTTGATATAGTTCTTTATTCCTTCATTTGATTCTTAGGGTTCCAGGACTGATATTTGTGTCTGTTTCATTTAGTTTTTCAGGTCTTTGCTGCAGAGGGATGGCATGGTGTGGTTGTCTACCGCACCAGGTTGGCTGAGGGAGTCTATGTAACTTTTTTAGTCAATAATAGTCTTGAAAATACTCATTTCACCAATAAAAACCCATTTCTAATATACCTTATGCTAATTATTAGAACCCTCTGGTGAAAATTTCAATAAAGATATCTGAAGCTCCTTACCAGGTACATCTTGAGTACATTCTCCTGAGTAGTATACTTCAAATACTAACTCACCACCCTTAAAGATTAAAGGATGGGTACATATATCACAGTATTTATTAGTTTTTAAAAGTTAATTACCATACAGACAATAGAACAAAAGTCTCATAGACATCAGAAAGTTATCCTAAATTACTCCTTATTCCTCATATACAGTATTTTCACAACAGTAGAATGATGAAATATTGTATCATTAATATGTATTAGGGTTGGTGAGGGTGAGTACATCAGATGTAGCATTAGTGATCCTCAGACAGGTATACCTGGGAGGTAGTGTGAGCTTTCCAACATGTGGTAGCTTCCTAACCTGGCAATCCTATTTCTAAAATGAATTCTAATGAAATAATCAATGGATAAATGTCTTTAAGGTTTATGATACATATTGCCTACTGTCCTAAAAACAATTGTAGCATTTTATGATTCTGAATAAAAGAATACAAAAATATCTATTTTACTGCTTCCTCAACAACTTTGGATATTTTTCATTTCGTTTTTTAAAATGTTGTCAATTTATAGACTAAAATTTACAACAGCCCTCCGTCAAAGACCACTCTAATGCTATAATTAAGTTCTTGGCAGTTCTTTTTTGTGGGCAATGCTTATTTCCCTTCTTTAAGAATATTCCAGGGTCACGTCTATTTATACCTCAATTTGACTGATTTTGGCCATCTAATTTTCTCTCTTCCTTTATTCTTTTTGTGAAGCCATTATGTGGATCTGTGATGAAAGCTCTTTCCTTGGGCATTGATAATTTGGTTGCAATGTCCTTCTACTCCTGATTCCTTTACAAGTATATTCTTTGCAGTAATATTCTGTGAAGTTAGGCTGGTTGGGACAAATGCAATAGAATGTGGTCACATTTTTATCTATTTGAAGCAAACCATTGGTCCATTGAGTCAAACTAATGTGAACATCTGGTTTTTTTTTGGTTTTTTTTTTTTACATTTTTCTCCTTGCATTACTGTAACACAACAGAATAAAAGCAAATTAAAAAAAGAAAAAACTCAGTGAAAAAACAAAAAACCCACAAAGGAAATATAAAACACAAAACCAGCTAAGAGGCATTTATTGAGAATGCAAATCATGTATAACAATATTGGTGTCGTCCTGTTACTGCCTTCATGTGCTGACTGTATGTTTGTTGTTCATGGATTTTCAGAAGAATGGCAGAGTTCATCTCTCCCATGTTTTTATGTGTAACCCAATGGAGCTGTAGCCAGTTCCCTCCACCTATGAACCATTGTGTCTCCCATGATCCTACTCCACAGACAGCCAACGTAACGCAAGGGCCCAATGACTTGGAAGTCAGCAGAAAAGAAAGTTCAGCCCTTACCCGCCATCGTTGCATCACTAAAATAGATGTAGCATCCAGGATGCCCAGGGGGAGGCCATCAGGGAAACTGCTTTTAAAAATCAAGAATATTTTATTTACATTTTGTGTATCAGACGTTTTTTAGTCTTTCTGATATGTCAAACATTATATTAGTCCCACATGATGTTTGACATATAAAAAAGACTAAAAAAGTCTGATAAATTTATGACTCCCTTTTGTCAAAGGTGCTTACATTCAAATAGGGGAGACAGAAAGTATACAAATAAAGCAGGTAGGCTCCAGGGAAAGTAAGGCCTCAGTATGGAACTGGTAAGGATCTAGTGGGCCAGACTGGAATCTGAATGTCACAGTTGGCTAACTTTTTAAAGCCTGGCCCCAACAACGTGATCTGATTAGATGTAGGGTGAAGGGTGTAGAAATATAATTTCCTGGCCGCTTGGTGAAAATTCTCAGGTAATTTTGTAAAACCCAGTTCTTTGTTTTTGACATATCTGGAAGGTCTCTAACTGGAGTAACCTCCCCCTTTGCATCTGCTCCAGCGGTCATGGTCACTATGTGTCTTTATTTTAGGCATTTCCAGCCTCTTTCCCCCAACACTCCAGCCCCGCTCTCACTCTTCATTTCCACCTTGCTCTGATGGTTAATATACTTGCTTCAGCCTATAGTTTTCTACCAAAACATCACTCCAACTAATCCAGTGACAATCCAATGAGAGCTGGTGGGGCTCCAAAATGTCACTTCATGCAGGATGGAAGTAAGAGATGGCTAGGATAAAGCTTGTCCCTCTGGGAAAATCTTGGTTTTACTGCAGTAAGAGGAAGTAATGTAATAGAGAAAAGTTGAGGAACAGGATAAATGAAAAGACCCAGTTTCAGCTCTGAAAGAAACCAAAGTCCAATATTGTGGCATGAGCAAGTAGGGAGGCTGGTGGGGCAGGGCAGACCCATGACTAATGCACACCCTAACACTGCCAAAACTGCTTCATGAGGAGGTGGGAGCTCCAAAGCAAAGAGGCCAGTATTTTCTTCCAGTGGGAGAAGTGGGCTGGTTATAGGTGAACCAGGCAGCATCTGAGCTGACACTTGAAGGAAACAGAATAGGCTGGAAGGACAGACACCAAGAAGATGTGGCACACTCACACCTCTCTTCTGTGTCTCCAGTCCCTGGGATTTCTCACAATCGTTATGTGAAAGAATGGACAGGAATAGTGGCAATGACAAAAACATTGTAGTGACCTGCTAAAGCTTTGGGCTCTGACTGGTCTATTAGTCTATATTTAAATCCTTACCTTTATTTTTACTTGGAAATAAAGGAAATACCAAAACCAAAAAAACAAACCTCTTGCTGTTGAGTTGATTCTGACTCATGCTGTGGAGTTGATAGTGACCCTGTAGGACAGAGTAGAACTGCCCCATAGTGTTCCCAAGGAGCAGCTGGTGGATTTGAACTGCTGACCTTTTGGTTAGCAGCCATAGCATTTAATCACTGTGCCACCAGGGCCCCATAGGAAATATAGTGGAATTAAAACCAACTTCCAGTACCTCCTTTCATTTGTAAACTTTAACTTACCCATTATACTTGAATGTAATGTTTCCATGTGAATGTTGAAAGTGTTTCTCATGCTGTTTTATCAATATGTAAAACACTCAAGCATGAGTTAAGAAGTAGTTTGCATACTATCTCTTCCCATTTGCATTTGAAAATATAAATTAAATCCCATGATAGTTTATTGTTAATACTCAGCCTAACATATTCTTTCCCTCTTTATTTTAAAAGAACCCACCAATTGGAAAGTATAGATTTTATTACTCAATGGCTAAATCTGTGGGATTATTTGAAGCACAACAAGATTTTACTCTGCAAATCGGCTGTGGAAGATGAGTTTCTTTGCATTACGTCCTCTGGGATTCAGGAGGTGTCTACCTTCCTGCTCAGAATGTGCATTTTAGATGTTTACAAATATTGCCTGAAGGCTCTTGTGCTGTTGATTCGGTTTTTAAAGTTAAAATCCTTGATAATCAACAATTGAACTCCAGTTGAAAAAATAAGCAGGAAGTGAACAGCAAGTCACTTCCACGTGAAACATGGAAGGATTTGATATTAATTGTATAGTTCTTTAGAAATAGGAACCCAGGTCCCTGTGTGCATCACCACCTTTTCTGGACATTTCGGCAGGCACCGGACTCCTGGCTAGAGTGTCAGGGAGGCTCCCATTCTTTGTTTTTATTGATGATGATTGGGTATCATTTGGTAAGAGAAAGTTTAGCTTGACAGGACAACTTATTTTTCTAGAACATTTTAACATCCATAGCTGCTATTCCCCACGCCCCCAAATCAAATTGCCTGTGTGGAATATCAGACTGTTTGCATGGGAAAGTGAATCTCAGTATCTTAGAGAAACACACGCAGTTTTCTGACTCAGAATCTCACTTTTTTTTTTTCTCGGTAACTATTTTTCACTCAAGAGGAGCTTCATTTCTGCTTCTGCACAGGAAGAATGAACAAAGCTCTTATTAAATTACTTTTTCAATATTTTTCCCTTAAATGCTAGAATCAGATCTCTGCATTTCAATGTTGTATGGTGTAATTTCAAGAAACCATTTATTAGATTATATTTAATGATGCTGTGACTTCTCTGTTACTAAAACAAGCAAAGTGTCAAATCTTTATGAATAATAAGAAAGAGACATTGTTAAGCTTTTAATGACTTTTTTCTTTTTGTAAATCCATAGTGCCTACAACATGTAATATGGATTAATGTTTTACAGCCAAAAAGTAGCATGACATTAAAAATAATACAGAGACTGGGCATTTTTTCCTATCAGAAACCATACAGTTAAATTTGTATAATAGACATTCCCAACAAATGCTCTGCACAGAAGAGAAAGCTGTTGCTGAACTACACTGTTCGGGTTGCATAAGAGTTAAGAAGTCCCTTGTACATGTTTCTGGCATGTCCTCTAGTCCCATTTAGTATCTGCTAGACAAATCACAAAGGCCTCCGAGAGGATAGCAACAGATGATCTCTTTGAAGGTTTTCCTCAGTTCTTGACTCCGGAGTGCGTAAATTAGAGGATCAATGATGGAATTACACATGATCAGGATGAGATACAAGTTAAAATGAGACATGAAGCACACACAGTATGGATTCTGGGGACAAGAGATATAGAATATTAGGTGGAGGAAGAATGGGGCCCAGCAGACAACAAAGACTCCAATCAGTATGGTCAAGGTGATCGCCCCCTTCATGTTGGCACCTTGGCGGATGGCGCCGGTGCCTGGGAGGACAGCGATCCGTTTAATGTGGAGTCTGGCCATCAGGAACATGTGGACATAGAGAGAAGCCATGAGAGCCAGCATGGTGAAGAACATGGTGATGAGGCAAATGATGACAGCACTACTGTCTGAGTAAATGATGAACAAAATGCCTGAAACCGTGCAAGCTGCCCAGATACAACTTATGATGATCCCAACCCGCTTAACTGTCATAATGTTATGGTACTGGAGAGCATAAAAGATAGTAAAATACCTGTCCACTGCAATGGAAAGCAGGCTGCAAATTGAGGCCAGCAAGGAGCTACAGATCACAGAGTCAATGACATTATCAATATTCACCGTGAAGCTCTGTGCGTCCGTATCTGTACTGTTTAGTAGGGTGATGACAATGGTTTCTGATCCATTTGAAACGCTCACCAACATGTCAGCCACAGCGAGGCTACAGATGAAAAAGTACATGGGCGAATGCAGATTCTTGTTCTTGGCTATTGCCACGATCACCAGAATGTTCTCCAATAAGCTTATGACACCCAGGGTCACAAACACCTCAGGAGAGACAAAAAGTTGCTCATAGCAACCTCCGTCAGAGTAGCCCTTGCCCAGGGACTCACTGGCGTTGCTGTGCAGTCCATAGCTGCTGTAATTCCAGAAGTGGAGAGAGGTGCGCATTCCAGGGTGGTGGGTGGAGTTCATCCTGCAGCGAGGGGCTTCCAGTCCCCCCTGAATTGACTTAGCCTCCTGGGTCAGTAGCTCAGTGCTTTTCTCCAGTTCTTTATCTGCCTGGAAGTTAGGAGGCTAAAACAAGTGTGTCTGTTCTGAGTAACTGCTGAAAGCTCAAAAGCTTGCAATGGAGTTTTAGTCCCTTGGAGGCCCAGCTCTCCTCCTCATCACTTTAAAAACTGTAGGTTTCAACATATTCAGTCTCAGCTGAAAGAGTCTGCAGTTTGCTGTTTTGTTTTCACTTCTGCTTTAACTTTAGCCTCATACATTCAGGTCTTTTCAAAATAATTTTCCTAGTAGCTGCCGTGCCATTGGGAGCCCCAGCAGTGTGCACATGCTCGCGTCGGCGGCTCTGAGAGCTGTGGGTCTCAGCCCTAAGCACAGCTTTGAGTGGTAGGAGCTGTGGGTGCCGGCTGCTGATTTTTATGGTGTGTGGAGGGAAAAAAAATGTTCAGAGTGGCTCCTCCTCCGCTTTGTTCTGACCAATCCAGCCCAAGTGCAGTATAAGCTCTTGTGAGACACTGATTATGTTCCAGAGATACAAATTGCAGGGCGACTCTGATTCAGATGCAGAAGCTGATGGGATCGGGAAGCAAGCAGGATGTGTGAGACGAAATTTCCCTGCTCAAGTTTTCAAGGGAAACAACTTGGTCCCTAGAAGGCATTCTGCAATAGCACAATGAGCAATCGTGTATGTGTGTGTGTGTGTGTGGGTGGCTGGGTGGGTGTGTGGGTGTGTGTGTGGGTGGGTGGGTATGTGCACACATGCAAAATGAAATCGAAAACATAGCTCTGAAGACAGATACCTGCTTTTTTTGGCCAGCGTACCAAATCTCTTTATCCTCTTAATTTCTCTGAATTAGGATCCCAGGCAGTAATGCTTCCATTTAAAATACCTGAAGCACTGGGAGAATATTTCATTTTACAGGTAGACTATGCTGTGGATGGAAAAACTATAATGTAGGTAGCTACAGTTTATCACAGACTCAAGAAGGGCTTATTTTTTTATGCACTATATAATATCTGTATTTCCTGTTGCAGAGTTTCTGTTATCAGAGCTGGAAAAGTTTTCATTTGGAATATTTGAGAAATCCATACAGCATTAATGTTAACTATATTTACCCTGAACTCAGAAAGAAAAAAGAAATCAGTCTGATATAGTCTTTAGGTAATTACTCAGGTTTTTTTCTTTGTTTGTTTGGTTGGTTGGTTGTTTTAGAAGCCAGTCTACCTCAATACCCTCAAGTACCTTGGCAATTTTACTTATTCAACTCGAGACTAGTGGATGCTAGCTATTTATCAGAGTTTCTGAATGTTTTCTTGAGCTAATTTTGAAACACTATAGCAAAGTTACTTTTCCATTTAATTAGCCCCAGTTTATGAAATTTCCTATATTATCCTTTCTAGCTATGGTTATTTTAGGTTTCAGCTCTCTCTCATGTGAGACTTTGTCTCACATACTTTGCACATGTTATCAGGAGGGACCAGTCCCTGGAGAAGGGCATCGTGCTTGGTAAAGTAGAGGGTCATCGAAAAAGAGGAAGACCCTCAACAAGATGGATTGACACATGACTGAAACAATGGGCTCAAGCGTAACAACCATTATGTAGATGGTGCAGGACCAGGCCGTGTTTTGTTCGGTTGTACATGGGGTCGCTATGAGTTGGAAGTGACTCAATGGCACCTAACAACAACAACATGTTATCTCCTTCATGATTTCTCCCCTGTTAGTAGGTGACTCCAGGGTATCTTTGAAGCCTCGTGTTGTAGATGGAGGAACCATATCATGGAAGGAGCCTGGGTCCTTGAATGCCTGCACAGAACAGACCCCACACCTCCACCTCTCTCCACATCCCAGCTCACCAACTATTACATTGAACTGTGATGTGATCAAGTGATACATTTTACTGTGTTAAGTTGCTAAGACACTGGTGTTTAATTACAGCTGTGTTAGGGATTGAATTGTGTCCCTCCGCCCCAAAACATGTGTTGTAAATCCTAACCCCTATATCTGTGGATGTGATTCCATTTGGGAATAGAGTTTTCTTTGCTATGTTAATGAGGCCATATCAATGTAGGGTGTGTTTTAGCAATCACTTCTGAGATATAAAAAGAGCAGATTCGGCACAGGAGCAATCATAGATGGGGAAGATAGATGCCTCATCACATGAAGACCACCAAGGAACTGAGGAAGAGAAGCTGAAGAGAGACAAGGATCTTCCCCTCAACAGAGTTGACAGAGAAAGCCTTCCCCTAGAGCCAGTGTACCTGAATTTGCACTTCAAGCTTCCTAACCTGTGAGAAAATAAATTTCTGTTCCTTGAAGTGACCCACTTGTGATATTTCTGTTACAGCAGTACTAAGAAACTAAGATAATCAGCTAGCATTAAGTACCCTGATTTTCAAATGAGAATTCTTTCTTTCCCCTATTTCAGATTTGCAAAAGTAGGGAATATGTAACAAATAAACAAGGAAGAAGAAATCTAGTGATTTGTTGAAGCATTAGATAGTCAGCTGTTGCTAATCTTCTTCCTGAGTCAGTTCTTGTCTTTGTGCTCCCTACTACTCTTGGTGGTACAGTCCTCCCATTCATTCAGGCTGAGAATCAACACAGAACACTCCACACAAGAGTGGCAGATTACAAATTCTTCCAAAGTGATGGACCATTTTCAAGGAGAAAACATATCTTGTGACATAAAACAAACCTCAATAAATTTCTAGATTTCCCAAGACTATATCATAGCTTTTCAAAGACCCTGTGGACATCTCTGATGACGCAGTGGTTAAGAGTTTGGCTGCTAACCAAAAGGTTGGCGGTCTGAATCTATCAGCCTCTTTGGAAACCCTATGGGGCAGTTCTACTCTGTCCTATAGGGTTGCTATGAGTCGGAATCGACTCAATGGCAACGGGTATGGGGTTTCTCTTGTTTTTTTTGGTATGGACATCTCATTCTCCAGATTTTCCTTTTAAGCTTTTTGGTTATTGTTTACCCTAGTCTATTGTCCACCAGCTCAGCCAGCTGATGTTAAACAATGTCCTTGGGGAAAACACTGCACTGGGCGGGCTCTGGCTAAAACCTGTTGCCTTCGAGCTCTCTCTCAATCACTTCTCTACCAGGGCTTCAGGCAAGCTCTGAGTTAGGTCAAATAAAGACAGCCCTGCAAGTGGAATCTTCCAGGGAACCATCAGAAAAGTCACATAGTGACACTTTTCTGGGAATGGGGCTTTGAGGATGCTCTAGCCCCACTCTGTCCCCTCTGTTTCCTACCAGGTTGCTGGTTTTCACTGTGATTGTAGGCTCTTGGTTTCCAAGGCTACCTCAGAGCTAGGGAGTGGGAGATGGAAATAGGTTTAAGTTAAAATGCCACAAAGTTCCCTGTTGTTACTACAACTCAGCTGTTCTTCTTGAATAAATGCTCCCTGGGTCTCTGTAAGTTTTTGGTTAATTTTCAGAGTTCTGAAGAAGTTGAGTATGATAATTTTTGCCGGTATTGCTGATTTTCAGATGTCTTTACCCTATCATTTTCACTGAGATCACTTTCCACTCACTGCCTTTAAAAAAAAATTAAATCCAAAATGTGTTTATCGATTCTAGGTGCTGTTAGTATTGCTTCCGTCGGAAGGAGCATCCTTCTGTAAACCTTGCTTTTTCTTCTCTAGTCTTGGGGAGGACAGTGGAGCAGCCAACACATAAAACTACTGTTTGTGCATGGCTAAAGACCGCGGTGATTTTATAGCAAGCTGGCATTTCATATCCACGAAGTAGGAATCGGGGCTCAGCACCACATGCTTCTAACTGTGTTTCCTCTTCTTTTCTGGAGAGGGATAAATGAGGTCTTTTGTTAACGGCATGCGCTCATGGGGAGGTCATCACTGCTGGAAAGCCAGTCATTGCCTTTTATATGCAAAAGTTTTTAAATTAGATTAATCTATGTCAGGTTTCCGGGGTGACACTCCACTACTAACAGAAAGGATGGCCGTTTAAACCCACCCAGAGGTGCCTTGGAAGATAGTCCTGGTGGTCTCCTTCTGAAAGGGCACAACACAGTCTTGAAAACTCTTTGGAGCAGTTCTGTGCACATTGGGTCACCATGAATCACAATCAACTGGATGGTAACCACCAACAACCACAATCTAAGTCAATCTTCTTCCTCAAAATTGGCCATCTGAAAAAGAGTAGAGTAAATATGTCCCACTTGTGGTAAATCTTGTATACAGCTTGCATATTAAAAACAGAGTAATAAAAGAACTGGTTGAAAATCTGAATAGAATAGGAAATGTTAATTTCGAAACAAGAATAGGTAACATTGCTAATTGAGAACAAAATTAATTACTCCTTTTCTTGTGGGTTTTCACACAACAGGGCTTTATTTATAGACATTAGGATCACATTGAAATTCCAGAAAACAAAATGCTTTTAAAATCTCATCTTTAATTATTTGGTATAAATTTATAAGCCCTTGATTATATGGTTGATTATGTTGAAGAGATGACATTTTGTCATCTCCAAGGAGGCATTTTAACTGTCTGCCATGGTTTATAGTGCTCTATGAGTCAGAAGAAATAAAACTAGCAATGTTAGATGCATTGATAGTATTTTTGAAAATTTATTGCAGATTTCTTTTTTCTAATACATACCAAATTGAGTTAGATCATAATGTATTTCTGTACTGAGCAAAAGCCTTGTTTTATATTCTGCAGCAATAAATATGAAAGATTACAATAGAGGAGTCTTTACCAGATTGTGCTAAATGAAATGCTATTTTTTGACATTAACAGTTGTTGGAGATTCTAAGGTCAAATAATACTGGAAAGCATTGAAAACTCAACTGCCCTCTTGAGGTTTCAGAGTTTACATTAGCTTATTAAAGTTTCTGAAGCTTCCAGAGTTAAAAAAAAAAAAAACAAAAAAACACTACCTTGTTTAACCCATTTATTTCCAAAACCTATGGAACGTAGAACCAATGTCCTCTCACTTTTATTTTCTGAGTTACATTCAGTTCTGCTCTAACGCTTGTTTTGAAAATGCAAGTTTGTTCCAATCTGATTGATCTATCTATTAGGGAACATTTTGAGCATAAAGCAAATTTGTTTGTTTTTAAGCCATTTTGTCTAGGAGAAACACTAGAAGAATGTAGAAAACGCACTGGCTGAACCGGGCCATGTTATCAGCTGCTGTTAAGTCAGCTCCAACTCGTGGCAACTCCATGCACAACAGAATGAGACCCTGCCTGATCCTGCACCATCCCTATCATCAGTTGTGGATTGGGCCGTTGTACTCCACAGAGTTTTCCCTGGCTGATTTCCAGAAGTAGGTCTATAGGCCTTTCTTCCTAGTCTGCCTGTGTTTGCAGGCTCAGCTAAAAGCTGTTCAGCATCAC